TTCCTTCAGACCACCACATGGGACTCGAGGAAGCCCTCTGGATGGTACCTTCAGAGCACCTCTAAGACTCAGGGAAGCCCTGGATGGTACCTTCAGACCACCTCTGGGACTCAGGGAAGCCCTGGATGGTACCTTCAGAGCACCTCTGAGAGTCAGGGAAGCCTGATGTGTACCTTCAGAGCACCTACAAAGACTCATGGAATCCTGAGTGGTACCTTCAGACCACCTCTGGGACTCAGGGAAGCCCTGGATGGTACCTTCAGACCACCTCTGGGATTCAGGGAAGCCCTGGTTGAGACCTTCAGACCACCTCTGGGACTCAGGGAAGCCCTGGTTGAGACCTTCATACCACCTCTTGGACTCTGAGAAGCCCTTGTTGGGCTCTTCAAATAATTTCTGGGACTGTGAAACACTGGTTGAGACCTTGATGCGACCTCTGGGACCCCCGTTGGACACCAACAATGCAAGAGCCATGTGGTGGTGTGGATCTGACAAGCCTAGCGGGTGTCGCTCTCCCTCCTGTATTGCCTGTCTTCATTTATTGCCTGTCCTCCTGTATTGCCTGTCCTCATGTGTTGCCTGTCCTTATGTGTTGCCTGCCCTCATGTGTTGCTTGATCCTCCACACTCCTCCTCCACCCTTCATAGGCTCTCACCATCCTCACCACACCCTACATACTTCACCACCATCCTCCACTCCCGCCATCTATCACATGAACAATCAACTGTCACCTGACAGAAGTCGTTTCCTGATAACAGTTGTCTCGTGACAAGAGTATAACAACGTAAGTCCTCAGTGTGACGTATCTACATTAACGACAAGTATTTGCTTTCAGTGAGGAGCATCTGAAGGAGTTCCTTGTTGACCCTCCTCAACCTTGTGAGGGGCGGGGAGGGCAGGTCAATAATGGACTAACAGTATACTCCTAGATAGCAGGGACGATAGCACATCCCACTCTCCTCGATATCGATGGGTATTGGGTATCACACACGTGTGAGTGAGTGTTTGGCGTGGCCCACCGTCAGGATGTTCCTCCATAACAGCACAACAACAGCCCTGTGCTGTTCCTCCTCTCATCTGCTATTGTCGTTTCTAATCTAAAAACTATCGCTTTGGATTATTAACTAGTTGGCTTAGTAACCTAGGTTAACATGTGTTACTGTCTAACATGTGCATTTACATGTGCGTCTACATATTTTGTACACATCCTGAAAGATCAACTGTTGAGTTTTCTCAGCAGTGGTGAGAGTTAAGGGTGCTCATGACTGTTGTTACCAGCAGTGGTGAGAGTTAAGGGTGCTCATGACTGTTGTTTACCAGCAGTGGTGAGAGTTAAGGGTGCTCATGACTGTTGTTTACCAGCAGTGGTGAGAGTTAAGGGTGCTCATGAACTGTTGTTTACCAGCAGTGGTGAGAGTTAAGGGTGCTCATGACTGTTGTTTACCAGCAGTGGTGAGAGTTAAGGGTGCTCATGACTGTTGTTTACCAGCAGTGGTGAGAGTTAAGGGTGCTCATGACTGTTGTTTACCAGCAGTGGTGAGAGTTAAGGGTGCTCATGACTGTTGTTTACCAGCAGTGGTGAGAGTTAAGGGTGCTCATGACTGTTGTTTACCAGCAGTGGTGAGAGTTAAGGGTGCTCATGACTGTTGTTTACCAGCAGTGGTGAGAGTTTAGGGTGCTCATGACTGTTGTTTACCAGCAGTGGTGAGAGTTAAGGGTGCTCATGACTGTTGTTTACCAGCAGTGGTGAGAGTTAAGGGTGCTCATGACTGTTGTTTACCAGCAGTGGTGAGAGTTAAGGGTGCTCATGACTGTTGTTTACCAGCAGTGGTGAGAGTTAAGGGTGCTCATGACTGTTGTTTACCAGCAGTGGTGAGAGTTTAGGGTGCTCATGACTGTTGTTTACCAGCAGTGGTGAGAGTTAAGGGTGCTCATGACTGTTGTTTACCAGCAGTGGTGAGAGTTAAGGGTGCTCATGACTGTTGTTTACCAGCAGTGGTGAGAGTTTAGGGTGCTCATGACTGTTGTTTACCAGCAGTGGTGAGAGTTAAGGGTGCTCATGACTGTTGTTTACCAGCAGTGGTGAGAGTTTAGGGTGCTCATGACTGTTGTTTACCAGCAGTGGTGAGAGTTAAGGGTGCTCATGACTGTTGTTTACCAGCAGTGGTGAGAGTTAAGGGTGCTCATGACTGTTGTTTACCAGCAGTGGTGAGAGTTAAGGGTGCTCATGACTGTTGTTTACCAGCAGTGGTGAGAGTTTAGGGTGCTCATGACTGTTGTTTACCAGCAGTGGTGAGAGTTTAGGGGTGCTCATGACTGTTGTTTACCAGCAGTGGTGAGAGTTAAGGGTGCTCATGACTGTTGTTTACCAGCAGTGGTGAGAGTTTAGGGTGCTCATGACTGTTGTTTACCAGCAGTGGTGAGAGTTAAGGGTGCTCATGACTGTGTTTACCAGCAGTGGTGAGAGTTAAGGGTGCTCATGACTGTTGTTTACCAGCAGTGGTGAGAGTTTAGGGTGCTCATGACTGTTGTTTACCAGCAGTGGTGAGAGTTAAGGGTGCTCATGACTGTTGTTTACCAGCAGTGGTGAGAGTTTAGGGTGCTCATGACTGTTGTTTACCAGCAGTGGTGAGAGTTTAGGGTGCTCATGACTGTTGTTTACCAGCAGTGGTGAGAGTTTAGGGTGCTCATGACTGTTGTTTACCAGCAGTGGTGAGAGTTTAGGGTGCTCATGACTGTTGTTTACCAGCAGTGGTGAGAGTTTAGGGTGCTCATGACTGTTGTTTACCAGCAGTGGTGAGAGTTAAGGGTGCTCATGACTGTTGTTTACCAGCAGTGGTGAGAGTTAAGGGTGCTCATGACTGTTGTTTACCAGCAGTGGTGAGAGTTAAGGGTGCTCATGACTGTTGTTTACCAGCAGTGGTGAGAGTTTAGGGTGCTCATGACTGTTGTTTACCAGCAGTGGTGAGAGTTTAGGGTGCTCATGACTGTTGTTTACCAGCAGTGGTGAGAGTTAAGGGTGCTCATGACTGTTGTTTACCAGCAGTGGTGAGAGTTAAGGGTGCTCATGACTGTTGTTTACCAGCAGTGGTGAGAGTTAAGGGTGCTCATGACTGTTGTTTACCAGCAGTGGTGAGAGTTTAGGGTGCTCATGACTGTTGTTTAACCAGCAGTGGTGAGAGTTTAGGGTGCTCATGACTGTTGTTTACCAGCAGTGGTGAGAGTTAAGGGTGCTCATGACTGTTGTTTACCAGCAGTGGTGAGAGTTTAGGGTGCTCATGACTGTTGTTTACCAGCAGTGGTGAGAGTTAAGGGTGCTCATGACTGTTGTTTACCAGCAGTGGTGAGAGTTAAGGGTGCTCATGACTGTTGTTTACCAGCAGTGGTGAGAGTTTAGGGTGCTCATGACTGTTGTTTACCAGCAGTGGTGAGAGTTAAGGGTGCTCATGACTGTTGTTTACCAGCAGTGGTGAGAGTTTAGGGTGCTCATGACTGTTGTTTACCAGCAGTGGTGAGAGTTTAGGGTGCTCATGACTGTTGTTTACCAGCAGTGGTGAGAGTTTAGGGTGCTCATGACTGTTGTTTACCAGCAGTGGTGAGAGTTTAGGGTGCTCATGACTGTTGTTTACCAGCAGTGGTGAGAGTTTAGGGTGCTCATGACTGTTGTTTACCAGCAGTGTGAGAGTTAAGGGTGCTCATGACTGTTGTTTACCAGCAGTGGTGAGAGTTAAGGGTGCTCATGACTGTTGTTTACCAGCAGTGGTGAGAGTTAAGGGTGCTCATGACTGTTGTTTACCAGCAGTGGTGAGAGTTAAGGGTGCTCATGACTGTTGTTTACCAGCAGTGGTGAGAGTTAAGGGTGCTCATGACTGTTGTTTACCAGCAGTGGTGAGAGTTAAGGGTGCTCATGACTGTTGTTTACCAGCAGTGGTGAGAGTTAGGGTGCTCATGACTGTTGTTTACCAGCAGTGGTGAGAGTTAAGGGTGCTCATGACTGTTGTTTACCAGCAGTGGTGAGAGTTAAGGGTGCTCATGACTGTTGTTTACCAGCAGTGGTGAGAGTTTAGGGTGCTCATGACTGTTGTTTACCAGCAGTGGTGAGAGTTTAGGGTGCTCATGACTGTTGTTTACCAGCAGTGGTGAGAGTTAAGGGTGCTCATGACTGTTGTTTACCAGCAGTGGTGAGAGTTTAGGGTGCTCATGACTGTTGTTTACCAGCAGTGGTGAGAGTTTAGGGTGCTCATGACTGTTGATTACCAAGGTATGTCTGATAGTTCATTATTAATTTTATGCCAATAAAAATCTAGCTCAACTTCCGTTGCTTTCTTCACTAGTAAAACAATAATAACAGCTCTAGAGTAAATAATGATACTCCTCCTGGCTGGTGAGTGAATTAAGAAGTGAAGTTATTAATCAGTGAGGAAGACTCTGGATACCATATCCCTGGAAGAGTGGAGAATTAGAGGAGACATGATTACGACGTATAGAGTACTATTACACATTCACTGTGGACATAAATTATTGAGCATGCTAAGGGCCAGGACGAGGGGACACTCATGTGAGGGACCAGGATGAGGGGGCACACGTGTTAGGGGCTAGAATGAGAGGACACTCGTTGTGAGGGACCAGGATGAGGGGACTCACATGTGAGGGACCAGGATGAGGGGACAAACATGTGAGGGACCAGGACGAGGGGATGCTCATGTGAGGGACGCTCGTGTGAGGGACCAGGATGAGGGGACACATGTGAGGGACTAGGATGAGGGGAAACATGTGAAGGACTAGGATAAGGGGATACTTATGTGAGGGACCAGGATGAAGGGACACACATGTGAGGGACCAGGATGAGGGGACACACACGTGAGGGACCAGGATGAGGGGACAAACATGTGAAGGACCAGGATGAGAGGACACTCACTGCCCCCTGGCACTGTATAGTTCTACACGAACACTAAACCATCGCACTAACTACACTATAATGTACAACGTACAGCACTAACCTGTCCATAGGAGTCGCGCTTGCCGAAGCGGAGTCTGAGAGCTGGGATGCGACTGTCCTTACGTACCAAGTCGTGGTCGAAGAGTGCGTCACCCTGCCGGGGAGAAGACTCTTAGTACCTTGAAGACTCTTAGTACCCTGAAGACTCTTAGTACCCTGGAGACTCTTGGTACCCTGGAGGTTCTTAGTACCCTAGAGACTCTCAGTACCCTGGGGACTCTTAGTACCCTGGAGACTCTCAGTACCCTGGGGACTCTCAGTACCCTGGAGACTCTTAGTACCCTGAAGACTCTTAGTACCCCAGAGACTCTCGGTACCGGGGAGGTCCTTAGTACCCTAGAAACTCTCAGTACCCTGAGGACTCTCAGTACCCTGGAGATTCTTAGTATTCTGGAGACTCTTAGTACCCTGGAGACTCTTAGAGCCCCGGAGACTCTTAGTACCCAGGAGACTCTCAGCAGCCTGGAGACTCATAGTACCCAGGAGACTCGTAGTACCCTGGAGATTCTCGGTACCCTGGAGACTCTCGGTACCCTGGAGACTCTTGGTACCCTGGAGACTCTTGGTACCCTGGAGACTCTTAGTACCCTGGAGACTTTTAGTACCCTGGAGACTCTTGGTACCCTGGAGACTCTTAGTATCCTAGAGACTCTTAGTACTCTGGAGACTCTCAGTACCCTGGAGACTCTCAGTACCCTGGAGACTCCTAGAGCCCTGGAGATTCTTAGTACCATGGAGATCCTCAGTACCCTGGAGACTCTCAATAACCTGGAGACTCTCAGTACTCTAGATACTCATAGTACCCTGGATGCTTTCAGCACCATGGAGACTCTGGGTACCTTGGAGACTTTCAGTGCTCTGGAGACTCTTAGAACCCTGGAGACTCTTAGTACACTGTCAGCACCCTAGAGACTCTTAGAACCCTGGAGATTCTTAGTACCCTGGAGATTCTTAGTACTATGGAGAATCTTAGAACCCCGGAGACTCTTGGTATCCTGGAGACTCTTAGAAACCTGAAGACTCTGAGTACCCTGGAGACTCTTAGTACCCTGGAGACTCTCAGTGCTCTGGAGACTCGTGGAGCCCTGGAGACTCTTAATACCCTGGAGATTCTTAGCACTTTGGAGACTCTTAGCACCCTGGAGACTCTCAGTACCCTGGAGACTCTTAGTACCCTGGAGACTCTCAATACCCTGGAGATTCTTAGAACCCTGGAGACTCTTAGTACCCTGGAGACTCTCAGTACCCTGGGAACTCCCCAATACCCGGAGATCTTAATACCCTGGAGACTCTTAGAACCCTGGAGACTCTATACCCCGGAGACTCTCAATACCCTGGAGACTCTAAACCTGGACCTTAAAACCCTGGAACTCTCAGTACCCTGGAAAACTCAGTACCCTGGAGACTCTCATACCCTGGAGACTCTTAAACCCGGAGACTCTTATTACCCTGGAAACTCTCATTTCCCTGGAGACTTTCAGTACCCTGGAGACCCCTTAAACCCTGGAGACTCATTCCCTGGAGACTCTTATACCCTGGAGACTTTCATACCCTGGGGACTCTCAATACCCTGGAAAACTCTCAGTACCTGAGACTCCATTCCCTGGAACTCTCATTACCCTGGAGACTTTTCATTACCCTGGAGACTCATTACCCTGGAGACTCTCATTAACCTGGAGACCTCATTCCTGGAGACTCTATTTCCTGGAGACCCCATTTCCCCGGACCTCATTTCCTGGATCCCCATTACCCTGGAACTC